CGAGGTCCCGTAACTTTTCACCCTGAAGTTCAGTATTTTGATCCATGGCTCTGCTCAGCCTTCACAAACGCCAAGCTTGAGCTCAGTCCGTCCTTTTTTTTGGGGTGGTTCTTGATAGTACAATGTAGTTGATATGATACACGACCGTGACGGCCTCTTCTTCTACACAGGCACATGGCCAGGGCGCAAGCTAAAAGCTTAGCAGCACCCGTCTCACGACAACCCCTCAGGCAGAGACGTATAACTTACGCCGGGGTTCTAGTACGCTAGAATGATGCCATGCAGTCATGATGGCATGCCGAATGTGGACTTACTCACCGCCATCGGATCGGGAAGCCCTCGTCCCATCTTCAAGATGAGGGAATAACAAGTTGTTGGCAGCACAGCCCCCTTTTACCCCTCAAACTATGCCAAACGTTGAACAACTGCTTGCACAGTGTTTGTTCGCCTTTTTTTTCCTTCTATCTTCCCTTACCGGATCTCGACGCCTAGCTTTTCGACCAATTTCCGGGTCACCTCGCTGTGCAGCTCATTGGTCTCCTCGTTGGTCAGGGTCCGCTCGAGACTTCGGTAGTTGATGCGGTAGCACATGCTACGTCGCCCCGTCTTGGGGTGCTTGAACTCGTCCACCAGCCGGACGTCCTCGGCCCGCTCGCCGGCGATGTCGCGGACCAGCTCCATGAAATCGTTTTCGTGGAAGTCCTGCGTGTTGGCCTTCGTGTTGCCGCCTGCTGCCGAGGAGGTGCTCCCGAGCCAAAAGGAGACGTCCTTGGGGCAGGCCGGGTGCTTTGAAAAGGGCACGAAGCGCTTCATGCTATCGAGCTGGTCCGAGACGCCCCGGAACTGGCTCAGGAACCGCTCGTCCTTGGACCAGAAGAGGCGGATGTCGGGGATCTGGAAGAGGAGCATGGCGATGCGCTCGAGGCCGATGCCAAAGGCCCAGCCGACCTGCTGCGGCACGCCGGCGTTGATGGCGATGTCCTGCTTTACCACGCCGCAGCCCAGCACCTCGAGCCAGTCGCCTGCATAGTAGACCTCGAGCTCCCACGAGGGGCTCGTGAAGGGGAAGTACGCCTCGACCCAGCGGACACGCAGGGGTTCGTCCTTGTAATCCGGGTCCGCCTTCGCCGCCGCGGCTTTCGCTCTCGTGAAGATCTCGACCACCATGTTCTCGAGCGAGCGCTTCAGGTGGGCGCCGATGGCCTCGGCCTCGGCGGGGGAGTGGTGACCTTCCTGTAGGGGGTTCCGCTCCGCATCGTAGGCCGGGTGCGGGTCCTCGACCTTCACGTTGTGCTTCGGCAGCCTGTCGAGGTCCTCCCAGACGGCGGCGGCGATGTCGCCGTTGGGCACCTTTGTCCTGTCCCACATGCGGGCGCCTTCCATCTGGTGGAAGACGGGGTAGTGGCTCCTGTCGATGGCGTCGCGGCGGTAGACGTCTGCGCTGATGAGGTAGCCCTCGCTCAGGTTCTTTTGGAAAGTCTGCGCCTGGTGGGCGCTCGTGTGCGTGCGGAGGAGGGTGTCCTTGTTGAAGTAGTAGGTGTCTGATTTCGCGCGGCCGGGGTGGTCCAGGGGGAACCCGAGCGAATCAAAGTTCTGGTGCGTCGTGACGACGGGGTCAAAGGTGTTGTGGTACTTGTATGTTGGCGCCGGGAACTGCGACTCGATGATTTGCCGCGTGATGTAGACGGGGTGATCTTTTTGGAGGTGAAGCTTGCGCGAGGCGGCGTCGAGGACGTTTGTCGGGACGTTGAACCAGGTGTCTGTCGGTATCGTTTGGCCGTTGACCTCGACGGTCTTTTTCTGGTCTAGGGTTCTTGAAATCGTCGAGGGTTCTGTGATATTTGTTTGTTTAGGTTAAAGGGATCACCAAGGACCAATTGATTGTGATCTAACCTGAGGAGTAGCTGCGCCGGCTACCGCTCATCGACAATGAAGCGATGGCCTGCCATTGTCGGGGAGCTCTCGCGGCGCAGGTGGCGCCACGGAAGCAACTTTGCAATTGCCTACCGGCTAATCTTGGGACGAGCATTTTGAAGTTGTGAACGCCCTTGTCCGTATGCAAAGGCCCTTTTTCTATGTGCTCATCACAGGCGTAGAGCTTCGATGTAGTGCTGCGACAAGAGCTGCCGTTAGGAAAAGGGAGCTTTCGCAGCAGTTGGTCGAAAAAGTGTCGATCACCAGAAGTCTAACAAAAGCTACGGGATGCACGGGCCAAGCCAATTGGCATTGCGATCCGGGGCGGGCACACGGCGCCAGACCCTGCCGACTCCCCCCGGAGCAAGGGTCCGGAGACGCCCTTCATTAGCGCATGGCACCCTGGCTTCGCTGCAGGCCCAATGACGCACCAAAAAAAATCGAAGCAGCAGGTTCTGTTGTTGACTGTTGGTGGTGGTGGTTCCCTCTGAAAGGGGACTTGATCAATCAGCAAATCTCCTTTTTTTCTTTCGTTCCCTTGAGCCGACTCGAAGCGCGTCCCTCGTTCAGCCGAATCGGTGATAATTAAGGTAAAAAAAAAAGATAACGACAAAAAAAAAGTTCGCGATAAACCGAGCCGATCTCCAATTCCTCGGCTTCTTCCATTCCTCCCACCACCTGCATACCCCAAAGCAACGAAAAAAAAAAAAAAAGGCCTCCTGCACGACCACACCATCATCTCCCCCGAAGTCGGCTTTATAACAAAAAAAGACGTCACTCGACCGCAACGACCGAAAAGTGACGTCCCAGCAACACACGCTACTCAGCTGATAGTTGCCGACACGAGAGAGAGGGGAACCGGGCAATCTTGGACATAACTCACGTTAAATCCGACAAAGGTCATCCGTTTGTGCTTCTTCACTTACGGATCCTTTGCCATTTTCGCGACGCAGTGTTCAATTGCGCCGCAACGGGATGAGCTTATCATAGGGAACTGCGCAACACCCTGCAACGATGCAGTCCGCCGCCGCCGCCAACATGGTCGCCAGTAAATCGACCGACGAGCCGTCCGGGCCGCCGTCGTCGTCGCAGCCCTCGCCGTTGAAGTTGGGCCAGGTCGAGGGGGCTCAGGAGAAGCAGCAGTCGAAAGCGCAACCGACGGCTACGGCGACGACGCCGGCGCCTCAAAAGCAGAAGAAGACGGCGGAACCATCGCTGAGGTATCCTTTTTGGTTCGGAGGCAGCGCCAGTAGTATGGCCGCCTGCGTGACCCATCCCCTGGATTTGGGTAAGTTCTACCAACCTTGATCTCGAGATATGGCGCGCGAGAGAGCCTGCGATATTACAAACGTCGGAGTGAGCCAAGAGCTGACAATGTCTCACAGTTAAGGTAATGCGCTCCCACTTCTACAACACACCAGCGAATGAAACCCTCGATTCATGGTAGCAAACTCAAGCTCTCTTAAGAGCCGTAGCAAACAACGACACAACTACGTCGCTCCCAAAGCAAGAGCTTACTTACTTACACAATGCCACCCTCCTCTAGGTCCGCCTCCAGGTCCGCCGCCCCGACGCGCCAAAGAACATGGTCGGCACCTTCACCCACATCATCCGCAACCACGGCGTGACAGGCCTCTACAACGGCCTCTCGGCCTCCCTCCTCCGCCAGATGACCTACTCCACCGTCCGCTTCGGCGCCTACGAGGAGATGAAGATCCGCGCCACCCGCGCAAACGACGGCAAACCCCCCTCCTTCCCCGTCCTCGTCGCCATGGCCTCGGCCGCGGGCTTCGTCGGCGGCATCTCGGGAAACGCCGCCGACGTCCTCAACGTCCGCATGCAGCAGGACGCCGCCCTCCCCGCCGCCGAGCGCCGTAACTACAGCCACGCCCTCGAGGGCATGCTCCGCATGGCGCGAGAGGAAGGCATCATGAGCTGGTTCAGGGGCGTCCTCCCCAACAGCATGCGCGCTGCGGCCATGACGGCCTCGCAGCTCGCGTCGTACGATACCTTCAAGGGTATGCTCATCCGCCACACGCCCATGGGGGATAACCTGACGACGCACTTTACGGCCTCGTTCCTCGCTGGTGTGATGGCCGCCACGGTGACGAGCCCCATTGATGTCATCAAGACGCGGGTCATGTCGGCGAGCACCCAGGAGGGGCTGGCGCATACCCTGGCCAAGATTTACAAGGCTGAGGGCCTTGGGTGGATGTTCAAGGGCTGGGTGCCCAGTTTCCTCCGCCTCGGACCGTACGTTCTTGTCCCTCTCCCCGCTTGCTTGCGTGATGGACATCGTGTATACACTTTACTAACCCCCGCCTAGACAAACAATCTGTACATTTGTCTTCCTAGAGATGCACCGCAAGGTCTATAGAAAGGTTGCTGATATCGGCAACGGTGAAGATGCGTCCATCAAGGGGTAATAGACACACAAAAAAGGCTTGTGTTGTGTTATAGAATGAGCGTTAAAATACCTAGATAGACTGGCGCTGCATCATCATCACTAGTACCATCTTGGCATGTTTGGAGGCGTTGGAAAAAGAGGCAACTCTGCTGCATTTGACAGGAGTAATGGAGGGTATACACAGGAAAGAAAGATATGGTTGATTTTCTTTGCAGCAATTTCATGTTTGCTTCGTGTGAGGTTTGTGTGTGAGTTGTATTACAGATGTCCGGTAGAAGAGCTGCCTTCTCGGCCGAAATCGAACCCCGCCCACCTCTCTTTGCCCGAGTGTTTGACAGGCTGTTATCTTATTTTACGATTGCTCTACCGCCGTCATCCCCTGTCACGGGTGTCTATAAGCCAAGCCATAAGCCAAGCCAGTCTGAGTGCAGGTCTAGCCGTCAGAACGCTGAGAAGCCCACCCCCTCTTGCCGCTGCGGAGTGCCTCTTGTTGTGCGTATTGATTCCGTTTCGCGCGTCGTCAGGCAAACTCCACCTCCACCGAGCTGAATCAATGTAGCCAGCTGATGGCCAACCTAGCTTCTTTGCAAAAATTCGCAAACTCCATTACCATCCCCATGTCTCAAAGTGGTTTTCATACATGTACGCCTTTTTATGATTTCGTGTTCGTTGATCTCTCTCAGTTCCATCCAGACTGTCCGGAGGCGCCGTAAGGTGTCGTTGTGGTGTAGGGTGTCGTTGCGTTGCCTCCCCACGCGGTCTGGTTGCCGCCATTGAAAGGAGTGGTATAGCCTTGATCTTGCCAGGGGTTGCCGCCGTCCATATCCAAGTTGGGACTGCGAGGTCCATCAAAGTCGCCCATGCCATCGTCGTCTGCCTCGCCTGTGAGGATGTGGAGCGTGAGGGCCAACTTCTCCTGCAAGATCTTGATTCCTTCCTGGATAATCTGATCCGGCTCCAGACTGCCCACGCCTTCGACCTCAAAGTAAAACTTGCCGGGAACTGCGTCGTAGTCGAAAGCTTCGCCCTCTTGTGGGGGGTCCTCCATCTTGGCATATTTGCTCTCGGGCCTTTGCTACCATTAGCGACTCTCATCTTTCAAGGAACATGTCATTCCAGTCACTCACCATTCGGCCTTCGCATCTTCTTCGAACCACATGTCCAGATGGTGAAGCTTGTTGTGAGGGTCGTATTCAAACCCAACAGCAGACGTTGGCATCCATTTTGCATGCTCCTTTGCAATACCCTTCTTCGCGATGCATGATACCTTAAGCTCCTGCCCTTTGCGCAGCTTCGCAATCAAAGAGCCTTGTCCTTCAGGGTCGAGGATTACAGGGTTTCCTACGGTGCCGTTCTGTCTGAAGCTGTCGACAATGAGGTCGCTGGCGTAGACTTTCATGGTCTCGTCTGATGAGCATCGCGCATGCAGCGTAAGCTTTACGCTGCAGTTGTCGCAATACTGCTCGCAGTCGCAGTCTCGGGTGTAAAGCAAGCTGTTGACGTCCTTGGACTGGAGGGGAATCAGACCCAGGCGATGGGCAATGAACTCGTCAGCGAGGACAGATGTGTTGGCCTCGATTTCGACGAGGTCGATGGCGATCACAGGGACTTCAGCCTGGATAACGCGACGCAGCGAGTTGGCGAAGGAAAGGTCGCAGTTCGAGAGATCAAAGTTGACGTGGATGTTATCAGCCTAACGATGCGCCGGGCTGTCAGTTTGAAATGCCACTATCTAAGTGGATTTTGGGAAGTAATACCCCTGAGATCTTGATCGATGGTCCTCCGGACTCGCCATCCAACAGCATCGGCTCGTAATCCATCGCGCCGCCGTTCCCCTTTCAGTTGTAGCTCGGCCAAAGGTTCTGAGATGCAATCCTGATGATAGTGCGGCAAACGTGTTCAATTTCGTATGTACGTGAAGCAAGAGCGCCTTGGCAATCGTAATTATCGTGGGTCGCAGGTGGACTGAATGGTGGAAGATGGCAATTGTGTCACGGTGGAGGGGAGGCTGAATGGATATTTTTGCGACCAGAGCCAGAGTGAACCCTGCCGCCTCAGGTGCCACTGAATTACCAATTGGAAGGTGCGGCGACTGTGCCTGGCGCCTGCTGAGAGCGCGTCGGCCTTGCCTTGGCGCTAGTGTTATCGATAAAGCTCTGAGCGGTCCCTCGATTCATCCGCCCCCGGATGGAGCTGTCTGGAATCTTATGATTGGGCGCGAACTTTCCCGCATGGCCGGGGGGTCAAGGGACGGCAATTCGTCACTTGGGGCCATTCCGATAAAATTTCATTTTCTTCTAAAAGCTTCTCCGTACACGCGACCAGTCCCTACATCGCCTCCTCGATTCCAACCACGTTTTCGCCCGCCCGAGTCTTTTACACAACACCACAACCGCCAAAATGTTCAGACAAGCCATTGCTACCTCTTCCCGCGCAGTGCGCACCGGCATGCGCACCCAGACTCCCAAGTCTGTTTTCCAAAATCAGTTCCAGAGCTCCCCTGCCTTCAGGATACGAGCCGCGCAACCCGCCGTTGCGAGATGGTACAGCGACGCCAAGGAGACGACCGAGGCCACCAAGGAGGGCGAGAAGCCTGCCGATGATGCCGAGTCTGCCCTGAAGAAGCAGTTGGAGACCAAGGAGAAGGAGGCTGCTGACTGGAAGGTTCGTTCGCATTCTGTCCCCCGATCTCGGACACCGAGGATCGAGACCCAATTCTAACATGCAGCTCTCCAGGACAAGTGCCTTCGCACCATCGCCGACTTCCGCAACCTCCAGGACCGCACACAACGCGAGGTCAAGCAGGCGCGCGACTTCGCCCTGCAGAAGTTCTCCAAGGATCTCATTGACAGCATCGACAACCTCGACCGCGCCCTCTCCATGGTGCCCCAGGAGAAGCTCAAGGTCGAGGAGAAGTCGGGCGATCTCAAGGACCTCGCCAACCTGTACGAGGGTCTCAAGATGACCGACGACATCCTCATGTCGACGCTGAAGAAGCACGGCATCGAGCGCTTCGACCCCGAGGGCGAGAAGTTCAACCCCAACGAGCACGACGCCACCTTCATGGCACCTCAGCCCGACAAGGAGGACAACACCGTCTTCCACGTCCAGCAGAAGGGCTTCAAGCTCAACGGCCGCGTGATGCGCGCTGCCAAGGTCGGCGTCGTCAAGAACGCTTAAGAGGCCGATGTCTCGACATCCTACATCACAATTCCGATCTCTACGAAGATCTTGTTCTAAAAAATCATGGGGCTGGTCGGCTCACCGCTGGAGGCGTCGGCAACCTGCCAGCCCCCCTTGTACCATTATGTTCTACGATATTCTCTCGATTCCCGGAACAGCGAACTGGGCGTTCCGGTCGGTGTATAATGCTCCTCTCATGATGTGACAATAGCATGGCGGAAAAAAATGTAAGGGGGCCGCAAATGGGAAGGCCTTTTTGCTGGATGAAAAGAAGAAACGGATAGAATCTGGATACGTTTGTGTATACATAGACCCCGAATAGGGGTTTCGGGGTCTAATGATTCTTCTCAAAGCTCTGGTACAATTTAATCATACCGTCTAGGGGATTTCAATCTCCCTGTGTCTTAATCACACACGCACAATCACATCCCGGTCTTTGCAGTCACAACCGATTAAGGTTGAACGTAATATTTTGGCACTACCTATTTCCACTGACAATGTCGTAAGGCCGCACTCGGCTCTCAGGCCAATCCAACATCTTCCAGTAATCTCGACATAGAGCATCGTACTCAAACAATGGGCACATCATGACCCAAATCATCGTTCGTAGAAAGCAATCTGAAAAAGGGGGACAAGATCGGAAGAGTTCGTCAAGAACTGTGCGTTCCCCCAACCTGCGACGTGGTGTTAGTCAATGGTCCCACTCGACACTGATGATGGTAGCTTGGCAGTACCTAATTGTTTGCTCATAACAAACTTGTCAAAAGACTGAGAGGCCAGGACTCGAAGATCCAAAGCCATCATAGTTGTCGAGAAAAGTCGAGTCGTCACCGATCGCCCCAGCCATATAGCTTTGTCCTGGTATTCTCGTGAGCCCGGTGAACTCACCACAATCCAAATCCTAGAACTTATCCATCAGCAACAGGCAATAAAGAGCCACGCTGAACATAGCAATGTAGAAGCGAGAATGTCACAAGAACAGCTGACTGTGTCATAGTCCAGTTCCCACTGCAAACTCATTCCAGACTTCAACCAGAAAGGTCCAAGGCCGCCATCTTGTCCCGGAAGTTCTGCGAGACAGCCCGACGAACCTCATCGGGACTCGACAAGTTGGCTCTCGAGCACTCTTCCATGATCCGGGTCTTGCAACGAACCAGCTCCTTCTTCATCTTCTCATTCTCATCCTCGGCGTCCCTGAGGGAGTGGAACTTGGCCTGAACCTCGTACCGCAAGTCGTGCAAGTGCGCAGACACACGGCGCAACACCCGATTCTCATGCTTCTGGCGCTTGGCGAGCTCCTCGGCCGCCTTCCTCTCCTCTTCGGCGCGTTCCTCAGCAGCTTTATGCTCTCGCTCAGCAAGCTCCTCGGCGGCCTTGCGTTCCTTCTCGGCGAGCTCTTCCGCTGCGATTCTCGCCTTCTCAGCACGCTCCCACGCGGCCTTGCGCTCCCAGGCCTCTCTGAGCTCCCGCGCTGCACGCTCGCGATCGGCGCGTTCTTGGGCGGCCCTCTGCGCCAGGACGTGGTCGACAGACAGGCGCATCTCGCGAAGCTCCTTCTGGGCTTGACCGACGTCGACGCGCAGGACGGCGTTCTCGCGGGTGACTTCCTCATCTCGGGTTTTCCAGCGGAGGATGGTCTTCTGGCGCTGCGTGATGAGTTCGGCCGCGCTCGTCGCCTCGACGCCGGCGACCTTGCGGGCACCGGGGGTGTTGAGGATCGTCTCGATGTCGGAGTGGGTGTAGTGCTGGGCCCAGGGGCCGCTGGGCTCGGTAGTGGTGGCCGAATCCTCAGTGACAGCTTTGGGAGGCGCGATCGGGGGGTCGCCTTGTTCATGATACTCAATCTTGCGGAAGTTACGTGCGACTTCGGGGTTCATGCGATCGAAGAGGCCGAACCACCAGTTGCGCATCTTGTGCTGGAAGGTCACGCCTATGCTAGAGTCAGTGTCTTTATACCTTTGAGAGGGTCATTGCTGTGCTTGTTACCAGCAGGCAGGTAGATGATGGAAGGTTCGGAGTCAAGAGAGTAGCAGGGCGTGAGATAGCCATTGTCGTTGATGTCTCTCTGGGTCTCGAACTCCATGAGGAGACGGTCAGGGGCTTTCTCTTTAGGAGGGCCATCGTCCATGGAAGTCTCGGGACGCATACGCTGAGCCTAAAACCTATTCAGCCATGGGTTGCTTAGAACGAAGATGCAGTAAAACTTACATCATCGGCCATGAAGACCTTTCCGTCAGTGTTCTGCTCAGCACATCCCTCGGCCAGAAGGCGGAAAGTACAAGGGGAGATTCTTCCAGTCTCGGGATCACCCTCGTCGTCCGAGATACCGTAGTCCTCGACTAGCATGTGTCAGTATTGGTGCGAATTATGACTTGAGCCAGACTTACCAAAGTTGCGGTCCGGGTCGTAAGGCAGTTTGTAGGGGAGCAGCCCCTTGAAAGAGGACTCAGGGGTCTTGGTGATCGGAGGGAGGTAATCCTCGAATCTGAAATCTTCGAAATCGGGCGCGATGTGGAGATATTTGGGGCGAGGGACATTGTAGGCTCCCTTCCTGTCCGCAGTATCCGGGGCGTACTCAGCAGACAACAGGTGGGTGTCATCGAGCATCCTAGACACAGTCCGTCATCAGGCCGAACGAAGCAACTGGTCACACGAAAACTCACTTGACGTAGTCATCCTTCTCTCGCTTCACATCAGCCCTCAAGCCCGAAGTCGCGGCTCCCTTGATAGGAGATGGCTGCGTCTTGGAAGTACTGGTAGAATTGTGGTTAGGATGATGACGAGTAGGAGGGCACATCCTCGGACGGAGACTCACTTCTGGGGTTCGCCGCATGCAAAGCCGCCACCGTCGACAGCCCTTTCCTTTCCCTTGCCCTCAGGCTCCTCGTCGTGCTCGCTGCGAGCGAAGCCGCCGCCATCGGCAGCTCTTCCTTTTCCCTTGACGTCTGGCTTCTCATCATGTTGGCAAGAAGGGCCGTCAACCGCAACCTTGGTAGCATCTCTCTTCGCTCTTAGAGCAGACTCAAAAGCCTTCACCTCCATCCAAGATCGCAGCGGGTCGTTCGCATCCCGCATGGAGCCGCGTACAGCATCGTAGGCCTTCATCATGGAGTCTGTCATGAACCACTCCTTCGCGAAAGGGTGACCGGCCGAGCAGCCAGGGAGCTGAGGGCTAGGCTCATCGGCACCGTAGTCGACCAGCTTGCTTTGAAAGATGGACCAGTCCTTGGTCGTGGGGATTCCTTCTATCTTGATGCTGGGATCAGGAACTAGGATAAGTCGGTTAGTTACGACATTCATATGAGGGAAAGAGCTGACAGAAAATTCTACGAGGCCCAGGCAGGGAGTAGGTAGATGATGTCAGTGAGAGCAGAAAGGTATCTCATTGAAACCAGAATGTGCTATCTAAGACCCTAGTGGAAGCAGCAGAACAACGCGGAGCACTTGATACCTTCATGGACCGAACGCGAGTACGACTCCGAATCGGTGCTGATGCTCACTTCCCAGAGGTTGACACCGGCATAGCGGGTATGGTCAAAAACGACCGTCTCCGGGCCTGTGTTCAAGAAGTTAGAGAAAGAGTTGAGAAGATGACAATTCGTAGACTCACTCGAAGAACGGTTGAACTCGTGCAAGTTGTTGTCTTGCTCCCAGTTGCCGTACAAGACCGTGTCGTGGGTGAGGGCTCCATTGTCCTGGCCGTGGGGTCCGACATTGGAGTTCATCATCTCGAACTCGTCGAGATCGTAGATGTCCTCGTGGCCTTCACTGAGGAAGCCCTGTTCATCGTACATGTTGGCAGCGTAGATGTCGTGGGACGACTCGCGCGACTCGCGAGACGCCTCTTCGATGATGGAAAGGCGATGGGGATTGTGATCTTCGAGGGTACCCGCGGTGTCGATATTGTTTGCTATTTATTTGTTTTTCTTCGTCAGGAATATGGTTCGTATTTGCGCTGAAAGCAGCCCAAAGCTTGATGAGCAGGTCGGATGACCTACCAGACTTGGAGCGCGAGTGCTGGCCGCGGTCACGTCGAGAAGACATTCTCGACAGGCGCTTAAGAGTAGTGAAGCTCTTTGACTTCTTGAGAGAGAAGGCTGCCTTCGATACCAGACCTGCGATGAAGATAATAAGCAACTGTGAAGCGATGAAAATTTTTTGGTAACGAGGATCCGAGTATTGGAAGGAAGGGCAATCAGGTGTTCTCGAGTATTTCCGAAGAAACAAACGCCTCAAACACTCGAGATTGGAAGATGGATGAAGCTCAGCAGGACTCGATTGGAAGAGAAAAGAGGAAGGATCGGAAAATGAATGAACAGAGGGTGGTTGAGGCGAGAGATCGTGAGATCAGGAAGGCAAAGCGTCTAGGGTTGGAGGAGATATTCACCCTTCAAGGCCTTTGCGGCAATCCGGAACGTCTTCTTGGACCCGGGCTTCTTTTGATCCTTCTCATTCATCATCTTGAAGCTTGAAGCCCCTCCGACGGCTAAGCGGGATGATCCAAAGCGCTCGACATCATGGACGGCCGGTTGGACATAAGCGTTGTAACTGATAGGAATCATTTGATATGGCGGACTGCGCAACGAACGTTTTGGATTAGCTTCGTGCTTTTGGAAGGCGAGGTAACAAATCGAAGCCATCAAGAGGTACTCACTTCGAACTTGGAATGCTGAAAAAATGAGGGACTCGGAGCTTGGTTGGATGCCTTTCAAGTTTTGTGTATGGTTGACATGACCCCTTGTACTGATGGTGATGCGTGTGTTCGGGGGATTCTGGCAAAGGTTCAAGAACAACCTATTTTGGCAGGAAGCTCTCCTTAAGGATTCACTGGCCATGGATGGGCTGCACAAAAACGTTGTCTACCAAATACTCGCAGTTGCCTTTCATGAAGATGTCAAAATGCAGCTGTCATTCTCAACTCTGGTTCCTCACATATTAACTTACACAGACGTTGTCGCTCACACCACTTTACACTGATTACCTTTCATGGTGCACAACCCTCAAATCATTTTGTGATTGGTTAACGACTTCATACAATATCTAGCCGCTGATCAAAGGTGTTCAAAGAACAGTAGGTATTCCTGATTTAAACCTCATAATTCTACAATTGCCATGGATGCCCCACTCGAACTCAGTGAACACTGGCGTTCTCCTCCCATGATAAAAGGTGCCCCTAGATTGATATCTGTCGACCATTATGCCATTACTTCTTGCCCTTTCCCTTGGCAGTCGTTGCCTTGGCCTTGGGCCTACCCTTCTTAGGCTTGGCATCTGCATCTTCATCGTCATCGTCATCGCCTGCTTTGGCCTTCTTCGTTGCTCTCTTAGCCTTCGGTTTGGGCGCCTTGATTAGCTTGTCCTTCTTCAAGTCAATCTTGTCCTCGTCCTCCTCGCCCGCATCGGCAGGTTCTGCAACATCGGCATCATCGTCCTCCTCAATAGCTTCTTCGAGATCCGGAGCCTCCTTCGCCACCTTCTTGGGCTCCATGATATTGCTGGCCTTCAAGAAAGGGATAGGATGAGACATTGCGTTGTAGCTGGAGAGTTGTTAGCGCTAAGAAGGAATAGCAAGAAGCACGAGTACTTACGTTCGCGTGAATGCCGCTTTTGTCTTGGATTCGATATCAGCCCGGCCCTCAGCTTGCGGACCAACGCCGAGCTCCTGAATCGCATCGAAGTCGTCTCGTGTCAAGTAGTAGCTGTCCATCAGCTCGATAATCTCGTCGACAGATTCCTTGCCTTCGACGGACAACCGGCGTATCATCTGATCCCACAAGACAGGCAGATATTGCTGGCGAACCTCATTGGCGTCTCCAGATGACCTCAACCGCATGTGTGAGTGTAGCTCACGGACAAATCGACCGAGTTTGCCAGTCTTGCTGTTGTTGCCGAGCCAGGAGGTGAAGTTGGAGCCCATGAGCTGGCCAGCAACGAAGCTCGATGGTCGAACCGTGCTGAAAACGGCGTGAGTAGGCATGAGACTCCATTGCTGTTGAGGCCCGTGAATCATTCGATCAACCAGATCACCATCACTGATGCTCTCCGCCGCCTGATCTATCAATTCGAGGTACTTCAGGTTCTCTTCCCTCTTGTTGTAACCTCTGTTGTTAAGTGCCATTGGTTTTGAGCGCAGGTAGTTTTCCTGGATCATCAGGTAACTGAACTCATGGTCGTTGAAGTATAGCTCGATCTTTTCATTCAAAGTAGTTTTGCTGGCGGGAGCGAACAGACCACCAGCGAGCATCTTCTGGCAAATATCCCAAGGCTTGAGAACGACGTGTTTCTCCCATGCCTTGGTCATTGCCTTGCCCTTGTCGTAGCTCATCGATGCTTGGTCGAGCTTGGCGGTGGAGATCATGTTGATGATTTGCCGAATATCCTTGTTGCTGCCTTCGATGAGGGCATCGACAACAGGCACAGGTAGCTTGAGGCCTTCGCGATGACATATTGTCATGATACGGGACCGGACCTGTTCTACCGTCGGGCGCCTGAAGGGAACATCCATGGCGACGAAGTCAAACGGCTTCATCTTTGGCAGTTTCCGCTCATTGCAAATGAGAATGAGGGGAATCTCGGTCTTTTTGCAGAACTTAGCCAGGGCTCCAACACCACCACGATCTCCTGCGGACATTCCGTCGACCTCGTCCATAATCAACACAATGTTCTTCTTTTCTCCGTCAACCTTCTTGCCGTCTCCAGCAAAGAAGCCGAGAAGCGATGTGTTGTTCATGATATCAGCGACGCCATTTTCGACTAATTTCTTACTGCGAGTGTCACTGGCGTTGCTCTCAATGACATCGAAGCCCTCGAGTTTGGCAGCCAAGTGTGCTGCAGTGGTCTTGCCGATGCCGGGCGGACCAGAGATTATGATAGCTCGCGTGCCACCCATACCGTCTGCGCCGCGCCGTTGAAAGTCGTACTTGCGTGCCTTTTGCCAATTCCTCAACCAAGCCTGGATCTTCTCGACCTGCGCCTTGTTGCCGCAGATATGATTGAGTGCCGTCGGCGCATACTTTGATGTCCAAAGCTGCACTGGAGCTGCTGTCGGGGCAGGGGCAACTGTAGTCCCCCGAGCGGCGGCTGCTTGCTTGGCTGCCTTCTCTGCTGCAGCCTTCCGGGCCTTCTCTTCTCGCTCCATCTCCATTGCCTGGATCTTGATAGCCTCCTCGTCTTTCTTCTTCTTCTCGCGCGCCTTCTCCGCACCCTTGCCGGAGCCGCCATAGGCAGGCAATTTCCTGATGAGTTCGAACAGGCCCTCCTCGTTGATGGTTTTGATGTTCATGTCCCTGATCTTCTTCAGCTTACTGGGTCCTGCATCGTCTCCCAGGACGACATAGCTGGTCTTGCTACTTGGTGCTCCAGTAATTTTGCCACCGTACTTCTTGACCAACGCCTGACCTTCCTCACGGCCGATGGTTTGAAGAACACCGGTGAAGACGAATGTCAATCCAGAGAGACATTCATCCTCGCCATCGGGCAGTTCCGCGGCACCTGCATTAGCAGGCACAGCCGCGCTGTTTCCTCCACCACCGGCATTCTTCCTCCAGTCAAACTTTGGGGCATTTGGGTCCTGGGGTGGAGGTGTCGGAGGGCGGACAGTGGGGATGTTGTCGAGGATCGACTGATAAGCCGAATCTTCAGGTTCGTCTGCCTTTTTAGCCCTGGGAGCGCGTGGCTTAGCGGGCGCCTTCTTTTTTGGCGGCTGCTCTTCCTCCTCTTCCTCCTCGTCCTCGTCAGGAGTCTTGCGCCTCTTTGTGCCAGCTGCTGCCCTTGTGCTCTTGCTTGGGGTGCCATTGGCGGCACTCCGCGAGGCTACACGCTTCGGTTTTGGTTGAATATCCTCGTCGCTCTCGTCCTCCGCATAGTCGTCGGTCTTTCGCTTGTTGCGGCCCTTCACATCAGCAGCAAAGATGTCATCGTCATCCTCGTCATCTTCGTCTTTGTAAGCATCGGCATCGTCGTCGGACTCGATCTTGGTGTATGTCCTGGCGGCGCGCTTCTTGGGCGTTACTTCTACAGGTTTCGCAGTAGTCTTCTTGTTGCGTGGGCTGGTCCTGATCTCGACTTCGGTCTTGACTTTAGTTGCTTGGTCTGGCTTTGCGGCGGGTGCAGGCTTAGCCGCCTTGGAAGATTTGGATGATGCAAAGTAATCGCTGGCTGTGGTCTCGGTTCCCTTAGCAGCCTCGTCTCTGCTACAGAATTAGAAGCAATCGACGAAGAGGGCAATATAGTTCGCGTACTTAGCCTTCTTCCTGACAGCAGCTTTCGCTGCCGGTTTTCTAGGACGAGTTAGCTTGGTCTTCAACTGCAGGGTTTCGGAATCGACTAACGGCGCAGGAGTAGGGTCGGCATCATCGTCGCTGTCCTCGATGACTTTCCTGCCCCTTCGGGCCTTTGGGGGCTCCTCGACCTTTTTTGGCAGTGGCTTCGGGGGCCCGCCTCCCTTCGGCCCAAAGAATGACCTGATATCAGGCATTGCGTTTTGTACAGTCACCTGTCTTCTGTTGAGTGATTGTTGAAAGCAGCGACAAGTTTATATCGAAAGTTGGCCTGCGGTTGCCTGGAGGGAAGTTGGAGGTTGATAGACGAAAAGACCAATCGAGGTCGCCGTGCCTGGCGTCAAGTCGGGAAGCGTGCACGTAATGGATTTCCAGTTGCTACGCGAAAGTGACGCGAGGTCCGTGACCCCGGTCAGCTCACTTTAGAGTGCATGTGGCGCAGCAGCTCCAGGCAAAGCCTCAGCAAAATTATCGCCCAACATCTCAGGCCATCCAAGCCACACCTAAGCTCTCGTGAAGCTAGGGACATTTTTTTGGAGATCGCATCATCAACGACGTTCATCGGCAAGTCGCAAACATGAGGCCCACCGCTCCTACGGCGCTTCTCAGCGCCTTCCAAGGCCTCAGAATATCTACGACGCCGACAGTCAGTCCTCTTAGGGCCGCGATCCGACCTCAATTGACGAAGCCGCTGGTCGCATCCCAGATCCTCCGCGATGTCCGCCCGTTTTCCACGACACCTGCATCGCAGGGCACATGGCTCGAACCCTCGATCGACCGAACGAAGAAGATGATGAAAGGACGTCCTCGCGTGGCTACGGGAGGATCGACCAAGGGCACGACTGTCATCTGGGGCGACTACGGTCTCCGAATGAAGGATCACCACCGAAGAATCAGCGCCAAGCAGCTCAAGAACGCTGAAGATACGATTAAGATGAGATTACGTGGTCAAAAGTACCGACTGTACAAGAGAGTGTGCTGCAACGTTGGTGTCTATGTGTCTGGTAACGAGGTAAGGCAGATGTTGAGGAATTATGGGCGATAGTCAAGTGCTGATTCCCGGACTAGATGCGTATGGGTAAGGGAAAGGGTTCTTTCGATCATTGGGCGGCGCGTGTTGCTGTCAATCAGATCGTTTTCGAGATCAGAGGAATGCTTCACGAGGCTGTTGCGAAGGATGCCTTCCGTCTGGCGGGTAACAAGTTGCCCGGTGAGTACATTCCCAATTGCGTGAAGCACAGCCAAGACTGACTTAATGCTAGGTCAATGGGAGTTTGTACACAAGGGAGCGGCTCCTGTTGTTGGTATTACGAAACTTGAGAACGGTGTTACGTTGGAGGATCTGAAGAGACCAAGAAAGGCGATTGCGCCTGAAGACTTGCTGGCTGAGGCAACGAGCAAGCCCACCAGCGCGGCGTCTACCACTACGCCGTCTGCAGCGCCCTAGAGTTTTGGATGAAAATGATTGTAACATTTACCGCTCTTAACTTTGAGATAGGCTCAGCGCAATCTCAAGTTCATGGAGTGGCTGTACTATAGATGACCTTACCAGATGGGGAGGTGTCACTGCGACTGTACAAATAAAGGAAATACCTTTCACACCCATCATTAGTCTACCGTGGGATTATCATTGAAAAATGTTTTTTGCACGCATAGGTTTTTATAGAGTCGGATGAATTCGAGGGTCGTTACTATGCGCCAAGTAATGGTGTATGCCTCAAAGCTGTCATGTGTGGCTTGAGGGCACGGGCCTATGCCACCAGCCACGCCTCGATATTTCCCACTTAACGCGAACGCGTCTTCTTTCAGAGCGCATCACCAGAAAGTCCCACGCTCTGCAGCCCGCTCCGCCAGCCAACTTCAGGTCTTCTACACGGCGTTTTCCACATCACAGCAACCAAAATGGCGCTTATTGTCGATAAACATAGACCAAGGTCACTAGATGCTCTGACATACCATCAGGAGCTTTCAGACCGTCTTGGCTCTCTGGTAGGAAGCTACAAATCTGCTCTCTCCCAGGCAGCTGCTCACACATTTCACAGGCTCAGAGCGGAGATTTCCCCCATTTGTTGGTATACGGTCCGTCCGGCGCTGGAAAGAAGACACGCATCGTTGCCACACTGAAGGAGCTGTACGGACCCGGTGTAGAGAAGATCAAGATCGATGCGCGTGTTTTCCAGACGTCGAGTAACCGCAAGCTCGAATTCAACATTGTCGCGTCAAACTACCACCTCGAGATCACCCCGTCAGACGTCGGAAACTACGACAGAGTTGTCGTTCAGGATCTGCTGAAGGAGGTGGCACAGACACAACAGGTCGACCAGTCGGCAAAGCAAAGATTCAAGGTCGTGGTCATCAATGAGGCAGACCACCTTACCAGAGATGCGCAGGCTGCGCTGCGTCGCACGATGGAGAAGTACTCTCCTAACCTACGATTGATCCTCCTAGCGAATTCGACGGCAAACATCATCGCCCCCATCCGATCGAGAACACTGCTGGTCCGAGTAGCTGCACCAACCCACGAGCAAATTTGTGAGGTCCTGGCAGTGTCAGCGAAGAAGGAGAACTGGCCCATGGTGAAGGGCTTGCATATGAGGATCGCGCAGGAGAGTGGCAGGAATCTGCGACGAGCTCTGCTCATGTACGAGGCTGTCCACGCACAAAAGTAGGACACCTTTGCACGGCATTTGCAGGATCAAAAACTAACAAGCCAACAGTGAGAAAGTCACGGATAGCACACCAATCCCGCCGCCAGACTGGGAGGCACTCATCAGCCAAATAGCGAGGGAGATTGTCGATGAGCACACGCCGGCACGGATTCTCCAAGTGCGAGCAAAGCTATACGACCTTCTCACGCACTGCATCCCGCCAACCACGATTCTCAAGACGCTCACCTTCAAGCTCATTGCGTTGATCGACGATGCCCTGAAGGCGGAGGTGATCAAGTGGTCGGCATTCTACGAGCACCGGATCAGGATGGGCACGAAGGTCATCTTCCACCTGGAAGCGTTTGTAGCCAAGTTCATGAGGATCATGGAGATGTACTTGATGAGCATGGAGCTGTGAGCAAAATGGATAATACAAAAGGAGGCGTTTAGGGGTTCAAGGCGGCATATGTCGGGGGCACATACTTCTTCTACTACTATCGGGCACGCCAGGCCAGTGCCAAAATGCAAACAAGTCCACTTCGCGGTTCCCAACCAGCTGGGTCTCTCATGTGTTTCGCCATCAGTCCGATTGGATGTTTATGAGTGTAAGTCGAGCGTCCAATGCCTCCAAGAGCATTCGGAGCCGCAGTGCATGCATGTGGTAACTTATGATCGATCGGCAAAGCCTCACGGCAGGGCCCATACTTCCAGTCAGGATGACCGACCAGGGTACCGAGGATAGAATGTCAGTTTCTGTATCTTGGGTGCTTAGGCGACGATGCTGCCTCACGCAAGATGCAAGTGAACCTATTGCGTAAATCTGATAGGTCACCACGCAAGCGGCTAGGACGGCTCCTCTTCTTTTTTTGCTTGCACTCAACAATCTGTCATCAGGAGTTCCCCAACAGAAAGGGCAAAATTCCCACATGCTTATATGGAGATGCCAGAGATCCATATTCTGCCGCACGAGGCTCGGAGGACGCGGTGATTTATCCTAAATGGCCCGTTTGAGAGTATCTCCGATTTCCAGAATAAACCCCGACCAAAGGTTGAAGCAACACTATTTTTTTTTTCGCTCTTTGACACGGACAGGTAATCAGTACCCTGTGTTTCTCCACACAAATCGTTTAGATGTGAGAGGATCCTTCGCCCGGGTTTCCCGTAAAGAAGGAAGACCCCTCCAGCCCTCCTTCCCGGGCCACAAATTACAGATGCGGCGGCAACGACGGCGGGACGGCGTTTTGCCCAAGCCTTCCCCCGCGGGTGTCGGGTATGCCAAGACTACTTCCATTCGTCCATCCTATGAGACGGCGGGAGGTGGACTGACCCGGATGAGCAAGGAAAGGTTAGGTCGGAATCAGTCTCACACATGCTGCATAGTACTGTACTGCGTAAGAACAACGGAGCAGGGGGGGTAAATGTGAGGACGGGCAAGGGACCCGGCCTTCTGGAATGGCAGCACGCAGCACGACTAAAACAGCGCATCACAAGCACGGGCGCGCACTTGCCCCAGTGTATCGATACTTCACTGAGGTACTTCGACTGGTGGACATGGGATATCCGGGTGCCCACGGGGTAAAATGCGGGAAGTCAGTGAGCTGTCTGGGGAGTCCAGGGTTGGGTGAAAGGGTTCTGAGGGGGAAAACGCGGAGGCGAGGTGTTTAACTGCAGAAGGCCATCATGCCACGTTTGGTGCTGGACAAAATTTGCTAGCTGGAACGTGAATCTCTTCAATTCGATCATGTTCACAGAGTCGACAGGAACCAGTATTTTTGTATCCTCTTTGGAGGAAAGGGCTCTTGATATGAGGCAAGCCACTTTTCCAGAAGACAGCGCCAGGCGTCAGGTACACAAAAACATGATGCAGGTGCCTTAGGTAAGACAGGCAGCACACAGCACCTGCCTGTTGTGTGTTACATCAGATCCAACTACAAGCAATCCATGGGCGTCTCTTTTCCTCTCTTGAACCTGCGCAAGCACGAGCGGGACTTCCGTTTAACCCCTCCAACCACACACGCACACCACCACTCGCTACACCAGCAATTTCTATCAATGGTTTTCTTCTGCCTGCAGGGTGCTAGTACAGATGTGCCCCTCCATTTGCCTACAGGCCCATGCCATGCTGCAGCAATACGACAACCAACCTCCTCATGCTGCCTGCAACTTCAGATGGAGGATACTTGGTTCCCCCAACTGGCGGCGGCCTCGACGGCGGCCATGATAGCTCCGATGCAACTCTAGTATCATGGAGAACAGATCACCCAGTGGATGCTACTATTCGTACCAATGTACTACGTACGGAGTACTTTGGCAGCCTCCGTAGGTTATTCTGTGGACCGCAGCCGACGTCGGAGATGCCGCATGATAGGACTGCAATCATCGACAGTCATCACAGTGGGTTCGGGAGCATTTTTTCTCTTCCAAAGGACAATCGGCAACAAGCGCGAGTGCGCAGCCTGAGAAATTACCCACAATCTGCAAGGAGAAAGAAGACAGTTACAAATTGCGACTGCAGGTGTGGTGGATTACGACCCCGGAATCTGCGAGAC